GCAGTAACATTGACCTTTTCCAGTTCAGTTTATACTACTTTTGAAGTGACTTACTATTACGTATTGTGCAGAGATAAATGTAGTTTATTTTTCCTATGTATGGAAAAGCATTCTCTTTTGTCCCCAAGGATTGGTGTTATACTCTCAGTCAACGCAGAAGTTGAAGGAATTTTGGCAGCATCTTTTCTTGGTTTCCATTTGTGTTACTTTGTTTTGCATTTCACTGCGCTGAAGCAATGAAGCTTTAGGGGCTCGGGGGATTCTGCATCTTGTGCAGAAGCTGTTCTGCTGCTGCAATCCACAGAGCACCTCGTGCCTCTGATGGAAACAGATAGTCCTGACGTGCTAACATACCTCTTCCTACAGAGCCGAATCCCTTTCTCCTGTCTTGGGCTCTTCTTTTGCAGATCCAGAGCATCGACACCTGCACGAGTTTCTAATAACCGTCTTTCTGATGACCACTTTCCTATCCAGGTCTGACTTCCTCCTCCCTGTCGGCTCTTCTCCATAACGGGCCTGCATGACGCAGAACTCCCTTCCAAGCATTCTCTTTTTTTTTTCTTTTTTTTTTTCATTTGAAGATTTCTACTCGATGCCAGAAAAGCACTTCAACCACCCACAATTAAACAATCTGGAGATAGATCTGCTATTTAGTCATTCAGAAAAATCCTTTAGTCTTTCAAAAAGAAGAAAAAAATGGGACAAACTGCTTGATAGGAAGTCTCTGATGCAAGGAAAATGAAGTTATCTCCTCCAGCAGCCACCAGTGAAGTGGCGGTAACTGGAGGCAGGGGAATGAAGGAGGACAGAGCCTGCGGGTCCGGTTTGGGTTTGACTCATCAGGGGCAGCTGGAGCTTGGTTTTAAGATGCTGAAACTTCTGACAAGAGTCTTCTTGGAGTTTAGAAGCTCTCCGTGGGATTCCTTGGGCTTTTGTATCGTCTGCAGTGTCAGTAGGTGGAATCAGCACATGTAACCACTCAGCCTATCAGAAATCCATAAGCAGTAAATTGCTTTTCAAGTATTTGGAAATTGGAATGTAAGGACGTGGAGCAGAAATTACTAAACAAGATGTTAATACGACAAGAGCCATTTTTTAAGAGTGTAATTTAATCCCAGAACTATCTGAAATCCATTTAATGGGCTGTGCAGAGGATGCTGACCTAAGCCAGGTCCATCCGCGGTCAGAAGGCGAGCGCGGAGCGGACACGGAACGGATGGGTCGGGATGCGCCCGGGGCCTCCCGAGTTGCTCAAGGGGGAGACCAACAGCAGAGGCTTCCAAAGGCAGAAGGGAAACGTGGGCTGGGAGGGAAAGGCTCAAAGTGAGCCCTGCCTTGCAGAGGGCAGGACAGGCTCCAAGGGCCTCCTTGGGGAAGGCTGCCGGAGCACCCTGGTCCCACTTCCCAGGAGATATCCTGCTCCAAGGGCAACAGGCTCCAGATTGCATGGGCAGAAGCAGACACAACTAGCTGGAAATTCTATGTTCACGGTTATTTTCTGAAACTCCCAGGCTGACTACAATTTGGTTAAAAGCCTACAGATGAACTTTACTGAGCCTTTAGAGAAGTCGAAAGTCAACATTTAGCTGGTAAAAGCAGCTGCAAGCGACAGCAGACTGTCACATCAAAAGGCTGGAGCACTAATCTTGCCTTTCAAGAGCTCTGCTTGGGTGTTTTTTACTGTTGCTTTCTAAACACCTACAGCTTGTATGATCAGAAACAACGGTATGGTTAAACTCCCTTCTCAGACATGTGCAATGCAAAATGCTGTTAGGAAACAGCTTTTCACAGGCTCTTAAAGCAAATACTTCTTGGAAATAGATTTCAGAAGCCAAAGTTACAAGTGCTGATCCAGGTTTTCAGGTTTAAATAAATATGATTTTCCCTTACTTTACCACTGGCAAGCTCTATGTTTGGCAATCTCAGCAGGCAAAGAGAACCTCCCCCAGAACTCTTAGTCTAATGGAAGCACAAACAACTATTTCAAATCTTTCACACAAGTGCTCTTCCTCTTTCATTTCCACCAGGAAAGATATCTTCAGTGTTTAATGGTTAATTGTAGTGACTGAAGTAATTGCCCCTTCCTCTTGACTGTAAGTCACCAAGACATGATGATACAGAGATGTTGGCAAGGTGCTCCTGCTGGATGCTGGACTAAGTTCTTACACTTCCACATGATGATTTTCAGCAACACATGGCCCTCCAAAATTAAAGAAAGAAAGGATTTAGGCAAGCTCCTAAATCAACGTTTCATGAGGAAGGCTCACGTGCTCTTGTAGGGTTTTCAATGCGCTGGTGGCCCCTAACACTTCCTCATCCATCCCCTGTGTGCCAAGCCTGGCACACGTGGTTCCAGAGCCAGCAAGTGCAGTCCCTGCTCACAATTTTTCCTGAAATATCAAAGGGAAGTTCTCAATATTACATTTACTCTTCAAGTCTGCATTGAATTTTGCGTTCACTGGAGATTCACAAACTGTAAAGATGATGTTACTCTGCCGACGTCTCTGGAGGAAGAGCCGATTTTCACTAGCGCATTCGCAATAAGCGAATCTAACTGCTCTCCCCTGTAGACAGCTTTCAAAGGAGCTAATTTCTGCACCTTTTTTCCTTCAAAAGAATTAGATTTCAAACTTGAGAATATCTAGGCCCGCAGCTGACATTGGCAACGAGTGATTTTTCGCCCATCTTTCCAAGTTTAATCTAACCACACAGTTCCAAGGGTTCCTGGCTGCTTCTTCCCACCGCCAGTTCAAAAAGGCCAGTTATGGCAAGGGACTGAATAATTGCTCTATTGGAGATACAGCTTTTATAATTAACTCTGTAGATTGATTTCTGCAGAAATCGTTCTTTAACCACGAGCTCCCTCCTCCCAAAACGGCCTCTACCCTAAGCTATTTAAGGGGTTATCTGGAGACTTCCTCGAGTGCATTAGACATCAGTTTGATCCTTCCAATAACAGCAGTGCCTTGAATTAAATTTCATACATCATACCTCAGTGTGACACTGATATATGCAGTTTAGTTCAAAGACTGTTGTAATTACTAATTGATTTGACTTATTCTGAGCCCAGTATCTTCTTGGGGAGGTACTGGGAGGAGCAATAAAACTTAAATGCAGATAATGCTGGAGTAAATCTGTATTTTATACTAAATTCACAGGTTTGTTCAGCCTGGCAGCCTTAAAGTATCCAAGGATAAACAGTGCATCTCATCAGGAAGAAACTGTGAAATTATCAGATATTTGCCTTAAAAATATACTATGCTACTCTTTCTATCTACAGGCAATTAGAGATTCTCCAGAACAGACAATATCTGGGGCTGTTCAGTGACACTGTATGCAGGGATAACGGCTTAGCCCGGCACGACACAAACTTGGGCCTTGTTAGGAGAAAACACAGATGCCATTTGTAAAACAGCTTAAACAAGTGCCCCCAATTATCTCTCAGGATTCACAACATGTATAAATACTCAGAGCATTAAAGAATCAGCCGAAGAGCATGTAATGTAAAATAAAAGCACTCTTTCAAGTGCTCTGAACATCTAGAGTGTCATTTACTAATCTCTTGGTGACTAGCTTAAAAATCAAGGCAAACCTCACGCTGGAGGCTCAGAACTGCAGGCTTGGCAGTTCAGGTAGCCAACGAAGATGAGGCCAAAATCCATCAATTGCAGCCCCTGTCAACTCCTAGATAACATCAAACCAGAACTTTAAGCGCACATAAAATACATTTGCCGTAATCCTTAAAATAAGGTTATAACATCTTTGCTTCAGTGTTTTGAGAGGGAGTTACTCCTTGATGATAGTTTATCAGTCATTTCATGTTCACTTGACTAGCAAGAATTTTATTTTATTTTATAATCATGTTGGCTTATATAAATTGGAATTCACTGAAAAAGCAAAGAAAGAAAAGGGTAGCTTGCAATAGATGTTTCCTCACTAAAGGGAAGGGGGGAAAGGTCCCTACCAGAAAGGTTTACATGCAAAGAAGTCCTCAAACAGTAATTTCAAAAGCACGAGAATTTGTTTGGGGCAACATGCACCAGACATTCATATTCTTGGGGATAAGCACAAGATTATGAGACCTGGAGCAGGGGCTCCAGCGTCTGATCCATGAGAGGGAACTGCAAAAGTTCCTCCTAGGACGAGAAAACACCCCACACTGGAGGGTGGTAGAGAAACTGGTGAAGAGATGAGGGCAAACAGCTCTGCTGCTAGGCCATACCTGGCAGCAGGCTCCACCAGAGTGGCATTCAGGGCTCTCTTTAGAGAAGAGCAGGGTATGTTGGAGACCTGACCTTCCTCTTGCTTTAAAAATGTTATCAGGAGGATTAATACTGCACTGCAGTCTTCAGTGCCTCATTCAAATATCCTAATTGGGGCCATTTAGGAGATCAGGACTGCAACAACAAAAGAGAATAGTCTAGTGCTTATACAAATCTAATTTTCTTGACTGCATTAGAAAGTTATTAATTAAATGGTGTCTTAGCCAGATTCAAACTCCTTATGCGAAGCCAGTTTTACCTGAGTCTAGTCTGTCAAGGAGATTTTTTTGACATATTTATATTATACTCAGGCAAAAAACAGTTCCGTAATTCACCCCAGAACCTACACAAGAACAGCAGTGGTGTCTTCACACCACATCTTCATGCAATGTGAGCACACAGAGCAAACCCGTGAAGCCACACAGGTTCATGGTCTAGCAGGTTACGGAGAGAAAGCCAAGTGAAATCAGAGCCACTGTGTACAAAGAGCCTGCAGGGCCGTCCGTAGCACTAACTGCTTTCTGCCACGTGCTCTTTCTAAGTTTTGATGCCCACCTCATTTCCAGCACTGAATTACACTCTCTGCACATTATTTCTATTAAAAGATGCTCAAGGATGCTCAAGGATGCCCGTTACAGCAGTTCTGGCTGCTTCCAGGGGAACGGACCCCAGAATGGACGCCGAGCGCCCAGGCTGCCTTGGAGGAGCGTCCCCATCGCGCCCTGCCGCGCTCCTCACCTGGGGGCACAGGGCTTCCAGCTGGCTGGCCGACATGCGCACCAGCTTCACACCTTCCTCGTTGTTGGAGATGGAGCAGGCCAAGTTGGCGACCTGTTTCAGAGGTGGGAGAAAAACAAAACAGAACCGTTAGAATCGACTTCTGTTTCCTGCTGGAAGACACTTTTTACCCTCCCCACACCATGACTGGAGCTCTTCAAGAAATGCAGGCTCTCCACGTTTTCTTTTGTTCTAGCAAATTCCTGTAATCCCTACTGATATTTGATCTAGCCATAAAAGAAGAGTCGGACAGACAGGTCCTTCTCACCACTGATTCAGTTAGGGTCTCTCCAGTAGGACGTACAAGAGCATCGTTAGCCGCACTCTAAGTAACAGTTAAAACATTCATTCCAACTCAAGGGTGAGAAAGCAGCAATCACACAATTAAAAATAACAACCTAACTCCTCAGCATCTGAGGATTAATTATGGCAAAGCTCGTAATGGTGCGTGCTCCCAATTCTTCTTAAAGCATTTCTTTATCGTTCTTAGCACGTGAATGCTAAGAAGCTGGCAAGAGGCTTAGGGAGGAATTCATGTGCACAAGTGGAGCCGCAAAGCTGGAGCTGCCTCCCTGCTGTGCACAGAACCTGCCTGAGCTGCTGCGTGGAGGAACTTCAATGTCCTGGCTTAAATTCTGAATGCACTTCTCATCCAAGCAAAGACTGCAGCACCCAGGCGCTGCTCCTCCAGCCTTCCACTGCTGCCTCGATTCGCTGGATAAAGATATTTACTTGAGGTTTTGTCCATAATCCCCCCCAGTTCAAGCAGCATCTCACAAGGGGAAAACTTTACTTGGAAACCTTGACCTGCTGCACAGCAGCATCCTTAAGTAGGTCATCTTGGCACAGAAGACCTTCTATTACCAACTGCCTTTAAGGAACATGCAGGAAGGGGACAGCATGGAGTTCTTCAGTAATTGAAGATAATCCTTGGATGGGAGCTGCTCCCAGGGGAAGGGCGTCTGGAGCGAGCTACATTTCTCAGTTGACAGGTGAGTGACAAGCATGTTATTCTGAGCCATTTGAACACAGAAAGCGGTAAAAATAGTACCAAGTGCACTCAGATGAACACCGAGTGCTGTCCTTTCGGAGACAGAGCAACCTCCAAAAAGGAAAATAAATAAATAAATAAATCACCGAAGAACAGTAAAGGTGCTGCAAAAGTGTCGCCATAAACCAGCACATAACAGCAGTGAACCACATTTCTCTACACTTTCCTCCAAAAGCTAGGAAAATACTGTTTGCTAACCAAAAGGTACCCCATGCATTTGTGCACAAACCATTTGGAAGGAGCACCTGCAGCCGCATATTCTGCTTTCCTCCCCTCTCTGCAAGCCACACCACAAGGCAGAGCACATCCCTGCCCCGGCGACCGTGCAGCACACACCATTATGGGCTAAGGAAGGGTGTTCCTCAATCCCATCACTAATTTTAGGACCAAAGCAAATTCCCACTACAGAGCACACACTTCCCTCCTCCCCTCGGCAAGTTCCGAAGGGTGTCCAACTGTGAGCGCTCGAGGAGAGAGGACGTTTCACACGCTGCCTTGCTAAGCAAACAGATGCAGCAGCATATATTTGGATGAAAATCAACCCCACTTAGGAGAAGTACCGTGCAACATCAATACACCACAGATGAAAGCGTGCCAGCTTTCAGAAGTATCAGCATCTCATCCTCAACTTCCTCTCCCCACCAGGCTTCCCAGGAAAGAGCAGCATTTTAAGAGCTGGGACTGAAGTTACATGAAGTCTGCAGCTGCTGCAGGGCTGTGGCTGTTAAACCCAGCTCACCTGAGGCCAGTTTCACTCGCTTCTGCCAAGCACTTCCAGCATGAGGAGCACTGGCTAAACCTCAGCTCTTGATCGAGCCTTATCAGAAAGGGATTTTACTTTAAGCATGTTTTTTTCTCCCCACCACAGATCTGCCATGCCTTAAATCCTTGGTTTATGATACTTTTGTTTAGAGGCTCCAAAAATGAAAAGACAGTAAGATGCCCTGATTTACAAGTCAAATAGAGATTTTGTTGTCGTTTGAAGCAGAAGCTGTATTTTTGAGAAATATCAGTTTGCCAGTATTTTTACGGCCCATATTTTCATGTGCTTTCTGCATCCATGGCAGCAGCTCCAGTTTCTAGAAGTGAGAAGAATACAAAGCTCCAGCGAGCACAAGCTGAATAAAAACTTGTTGAAGCGCCACAAAATCAGTCCCTCCCGTGTCCCGCGATGCTGCAGAGGCTCTCGAGCCAGATCTGATGAGTCGGGATCGTGCAATACCCAGTGCAGTCTGGATGGAGCAGAACCTTGTAATTGAGTGTCCTCTCGGCGCTCTTATGAAATCTGGGGGGTTTCCCACAGTCGTTTCTCTGCTGAATACCTCACTGATGGCGATTTTTCTTTAGGAATGACCCAGTTGCCTGCCAACCTTTACGGAAGGAGGGTGGCAGGTCTGCGGCCGAGCACCCCGTTGCTGGCTGCTGCCTCGCAGCCTCCCTCTGCTCTGCAGCCCTCAACACTTGGGCATGCAGGAGAACGCTGTTTGCTTTGGCAGGGGGGGTTTTTTCCTGCCAGGTGAGCAAACAAGCCTGCCAGCAGTTGGCTGAACCGGAATGCGGCGGCGGCGGGGACTATTTCAGCGAGCTACGGGACATGGCAATAATGCACTTACGACACCTATCTGCAGGCTGGCCCAGCCAATCACTCACACTCCTCCTAAAAGTCATAATTCAATAAATTGTCAACGATTAATCAAGTAGTAAATCACATTACAATGATGTATTTTAAAATGTCATTAATTTGTGGGTGCTCTATAGCATGAATTCTCAGACTGCACTTAACAGCTGCACCGTGTGGGTATGTGATAAAGAAATTGTATTTTTGAAGTATCAGAAAGTCCAGTTCATTGACACCTGAGTGATGTTTGAGAAATCACCGGAAGCTCTTATCTATGGGAGAAGGATAAAATACTCCTGTCTGGTTATTTGGCATGTGCATGTAATACACGGCATTTGGTAGCAGTGATGAAGATCAAATGTGACCAAATTTGTTTTAAAACAGGCACCTGGAAATCTTACACATTTCTGAAACTTCCATATGAAAAGGCGGCCCCGCAAGCAAGCAGAAGTTGCAAGCGAATCAAATGCAAATGGACCAGTTTCCCCATCTTTCCAACAGCAGAGCAGACTGGCACAGCAAGAGGTCAGATTTAACTTGGGAAGAAGCTTGGGCTGGAGAGCGAAGGAGGTCCTGAATTCCCGCTCCAGTTGTTCCTTCTTGCCATTCAGTAGCATTGAGCAGTGCCAGCACCAAGGCAGACAAAATAACCTGCAAACAATGCAATCAGCCATAAACACTAATTTCTGGGTGGAAAAAAAATCAGGAATGCACAGAGAGACGCGGACTAGAGGAACAGAACGGCACAGTTTACAAACCCCTCTTGGAGTCCCACGCAGGGCCAATTAAAAGCATCTTTCTGATGCAGCATCAAGGCTCTTGCATTTTACAGAGCACACAGCCATCTCCCAGCGCCTGCTTCCCGCATCCGAAAAGGCAGGAGCGGCCCAGGGCTGCTGCCAGCCTCTGGATGAGCGAGCTTCCATTCAGCCCCCAGCGACAGACCCACCAGGCCCCGGCGCGCGCGGCGGAGACGCAGCCGCGGCAGCGAGAGCCTGGCGGAAACGCGGCTAACAAACGGGTGCCAGGGAAAACGCAGAGCTTGACGAACTCATCGGGGAAGTGGGTTTTCCACACGCAGATCAGTTCGGGAGGCTCCCGGCTGATGTTATGCAGGGTGACATCAGAGCGCTGCGAGAGGAGACGGTGATGCCTTCGGAGGAGGCATCACTTGGCTGCTCCGCTCCGGAGCAGGCACGAGTCACTCGGCAAAGAAACTGGGGGAGGGTTTTGTATCATCTGCCATGGAGCGAGACTTCAGCTCAAATTCTAGTTATTCTGCTGCTTCTGCCTTTACTGATTTAATGGGGAGAAGTCATGGTATTTCGAAAGAAATGTTTCCCTCAATTAGCAGCGACTTGTCAGTCTGCATGAGATCTTCCTTTCCTGGGATTTCAAAGGCTGGTGGTGCAGGCTATGTTCCAACTTTTGCCTTGTATACCTGCATTGACATCCAAGAATCACCACCAAGTCCTTCTACCTTCCTTACAGGTCACTTTTAAAAGAGTTTATTCAAAAAATCAGAAGTCTAAAGCCCTTTTAGCGAGATGGGTGCTGGATGTGGCCATCCAGCAATTGCATAATAGAAAAAAGCAGGTTCTGCAATTCTCTATTAATGCGTGGTTTATTTAGCAACAAGGATCACATTTTACTATGCAGGAGACATACGTATATTAATGGAATTCCACTGCCATTTAAAACTGCAGATGTAAAATCAGCATTCCAAAAATACATGAGTTTTTTAGACAGTTTTCCTATTGAAAAACTTAACAATTCAGTCTAACATTACCCAGGATCCTCTCAATTAATGCTCACAAATCTTTACACAAAAATAACACAGGAACATACTATTTCATTATACATAGATAATTTGGGAATTTCAACAGCATGGAAACAAAGATTTTTCAAAGGTGTTTGCTGCTCGCATTTTAATTCCCAACGAAATGTCAAAATGTTATATTCTTGCTCTACTTATATTGCAGTTTCTCTAGGAATGGAAGTTCTCACTTTTGAGCAAGTAAAATCACCCATTTAGAAAAGAGAAGAGAAGGGAAGGAAAAGGAAAGGGGAAGCGGAAGGGAAGGGAAGCAAAAGGGAGGAATGGATAAGCAATCAACTCAGCATTTTCTTCTTGATGATCTGCTGAAGAAATTGTACCCAATATCCTCACAAAATGCAAGTTCTCAGAGCACATCTAGTTTCTTCCTGCCCTTTATTAAGAACAAGGTCCAGATTCACTTCCTGATGGCCAAAGCCCAGGGAGGTTCATTTGCTGGCAGGAACAAACATCCCAGCCAAGGTAAGTGGCAACCGAAGCCTAAGAGCAGATGCGTTAGCAATGTAATTGCCATCTCTTTGAAAGAAAGGCTTTATTATTTAGTGAGT